ACAAGAAGAGGAAAATGAGATAAGGTCCAGCATTGAACCTCACAATTACTGAAAATTCTGATACAAACTCTGATCAAGTTTGTCCTTTTCCACACTGAATTTAACTCCTCTGTTTCATTCGCTCAGTGCCTTCATGTCAGGGCTAAAGAATGATTAGCACCTTTGAAGATTAGGATCCCGTTAACTATCCTATATTCTTTGGAGCATATAAAATGAGGATATGAAAAAATAAATAGGGCCTCTGGGCTAAGATAATCTTATTTTTAGTCACTCATTTTGCCATTAGTCAAACCATATCTGAATGTAAACATGATGCATTTAAACTTTTTAGTTTGCATATTTCTTCTTTAAAATAAAAAGGACTTTTTTCTGATTTCAGAACTAATACATGCTCATTATCAAGAAGTTAAATATCAAAGTAAAATAGAAACTTAAAGGATCCTAAAATTCCGCTTCAATCAGAGCAATAACCATTAATTACATTTTGGTAATATTCTTCCCTAAACGCACACACATACGTTAACACAGATAAACGTCGTGTGGAAATGAACCCACGGTATCTGACCATCTACAAATGGCTGTTTCCGTTAAAACATTTCCTGGCCATTGCTTCATGTCAGCTTCCATCACCTCTCTGGTTCTTTTTATCCCAGGAGGGTCTCAGACTCAGCAACTTAGGGTCTGAGAATAAGTGAGATACAGGAAGGTGACTGGTCATCTTCCCAGGGGCAGAGCGGTCCGGGTCCAGATGCCTGGATTGGTTAATCCTCTGTTGCTCATTGCTCTTCTTGGCCGTGGAGACCGGGCTCATGAACCACATGTGTTGGGTGGTTGGATGAACCGTATGTGGCGTCCTTTTCGATGGAAGCCGCTGTGTAAGTAGCAAAATAACAGAACCAGGGCTGCCCTCTGCTATTGGAGTTAAAAGTCCCACCACTCTGCAGAGTTCTCTGAAGCCTCCAAAGGTTAGTGGAGTTATTTCACCACCGTTCGGAGCTGTGACGGAGCATGTGAAACTGGGTCAGATGGCTAAGAATATGGATTAAATCTCTCTTAAGTGGTGTGGTGATGGTATGGGGCGTGGGCTGTGTGTACATGTGTGTGTATCTGTATGCCTGGGTGTTCTGCTAACAATTTAGTAAATTTCAGTCTCCACGTTTTCTTGTTAAGCTGTAGTCTTCATGTGTCCTCAAAATTTCTCAATGATTTATAGGTATAGCATTTTATGTTTCGGGAGTAAAAAATTGTATCTTTAAGCATATTGATACATTAATACATCTGAAACGTCAGAATTATATTTTGAGGTATTTGATGAGAAGCAGAGGTTACTGTATGGTCTGTGAATAGCCTTTCCCCCTCAAATTTGGAGTAACACGAAGCGCCGATTTTAATAAATGTTTCAAGACTGATTTTTTCGAATGAACTCTTTCCTGCTCTGTTTTCCAGCCTCTTCTCTGGGTAAGGGCTTGTGCAGGGAAGACTTTATGTCACATTCCCAGGGAATGATGAAATCCTACCGCACTGACGGTAAATAAGGACCTCCGCTTCCAGGAGCGGGAAGACAAATCTCTGTGGAGAGGAAACCTGCAATTTGAAGTTGTTTTGAAGAATGATTTCATTGTCTTGTATTATAGAATATTATGTGAGATGATCTGTTAATTATCTCATACTTAGGACAGTTTTTTCATTGATTTAACAGAGCAACTCTGCTCACCTTCTTTCAAGGTACAGTACAAAATGTAACAGCCAACAGTTAGGAGGAAGGGGCTCTGGGGAGCATTCTTCCTGCCCGCGGTGCATACATCACCCATGTTTATTGGTTTCACCTTTGAAACTAAGCAAAGCACCAAACACGTCCTTTTGTGTCAGAATCAGGAGATGTATTTCCGAGCAATTGCACATTATTTCAGAGATGAAGACTTAGGTGGAGCAGGTGACGAGAAGACACAAAGAAGGTCTTTGAACTTGAACCTTGATTTTGAAGTGTCATCAATGACATCTTCCTTGTCTGACGTCTGGGTGTCAGGGAGGAGGGAACTGTCTCTTGGCCCATCATGCCCAGCCCTTGGTGGAGAGAGTTCAGCGCTTTACCAGTCAGTCTGAAGCCCAAGCTGGGGTCCTGAACACAGCAGAAGCGTGCCTGACAAACGCTGCTCTAATGTGGACTTTAGAATTTTTTTTTTTTCATTACCGTTCCTAGTGTTCTTTCTGAAAGAAGCTCAGGAAAGAGAAGCAGATCGAGTCTCGTGTTAAATCAACCCAGCTCCGTCTCCACGGCATGCATTGCTCGGCATGCATTTTTGTATATTTTTGCCTTCCCACGTTCCCCGGGGTTCTGGTGGGCACGAGCCTGGGTGTTAGACCTCCAGTAAGTGTTTCTTGATGAATACATCAATGCAAAAGTACATAAACGATCTCCTGGGTTGAGCTGTACCTGCCTGTAGACCACCGCAGTCTTCCATGACCGGCAGACCGCTGGGTGTGGTGACCTTTAGGCATAAGGGTCAGTATCTCAAGCTCTCATAGACTCAGGGCTTTCTCAAGGGTGGGATCGGCATTGTGTGCCCCTGTTTTGGGCAAACATGTTTCTTGTTTCATTAAAGAGATAGTTAATTCTTCTGTGTCAGAGACCATGGCATGTACCTTTTTTCATGGGAAAAGCAGAAAAGCAAGGAAGCAAGCTGTCTAGAGCAAGAATGAAATGGGAGGAAGGAGAGATGGGGAGGGAGGAATAGGGGATGTCCTCAGTGCTTGCTGTGTGCCACGTACGGAGCTAGGGGTTTCACACACAGTATTTAAATGTATCCCTTCCCCCTCACCGAGGGACTCTGAAGTAGGTGTTATGATGCCCATTGCAAGTATAAAAAACCAAAAGCACAGCGCGATTGAGTGTTTCACCCTGGGCCACACGGCTATCACATGGCAGAGCTGTGCTTTGTACACTGGCCTGACCGCTCGAACCTAGAGCTGTTTATTCTGAGACAGGACCAGTAAACACTGGGACCCTGACTTGTCTTCCTGAAGATGAGGGCTGCACATCAAAGACACATCCAGTGGTTAATTTGGAAGAGGCACTAACTCATTAAAGGAATTTTTATATCATTTTATATTAATGGAAAAATTTAATATACAACTTACTGTATTCCATGCAAAGTGCTAAATGCTTTGCACACCTTACCTCATCTGACACACACACACACACACACACACACAGGATCCATTGAGGCAGATGTGAGTATCCTTCCCATTTTACACGTGGCAAAATGAAGGCTTAAGACACTACACGACCAAAACAATCTTAAAAAAGAACAAGGTTGGAGGATTCACATTTCCTGATTTCCAAACTTACTACAAAGCGGCAGTAATCAAAACAGTGTGGTCCTGGGACTTCCCTGGTGGTCCAGTGCTTAAGACTTCGCCTTCCAGTGCAGGGGGTATGGGTTCGATCCCTGGTTGGGGAGCTAAGATCCCACATGCCTTGCAGCCAAAAATAAACCAAAACAGAAGCAATATTTTAACAAATTCAATAAAGACTTTGAAAATAAGTGTGGTCTTGGCATAAAGACAGACATATAGACTAATGGAATAGAGAGCCCAGAAATAAACTCTTGCGTATGTGGTCAAAGGATTTTTGACAAGGGTGCCAGGAGACATTCAATGGGGGAAAAGACAGTCTTTTCAGCAAATGGTGCTGGGAAAACTGGATATCCACATACAGAAGAATGAAGCTGGACCCTTACCTAACACCTTATGCAAAAATTAACGCAAAATGGATCAACGACCTAAACGTAAGAGCTAAAGTTATAAAACTTTAAGAAGAAAACATAGGACAAAAGCTTCATGGCGTTAGATTTGGCAATGATTTCTTGGATGTGACATCAAAGGTACAGGCAATAATAGAAAAAACATTCAAATTGGACTTCAAGAAAATAAATACTTTTGTGCATCGAAAGACTATCAACAGGATAATAAGGCAACCCACAGAATGGGAGGAAATATTTGCAAATCGTATAGCTGATAAGAGATTAATATCCAGCCTATAGAGAACTCCTACAACGCACCACCAACAAAAAACAAACCACCCGACTCAGAAGTGGGCAAAGGACTTAGACAGACAGTTTTCCAAAGAAGATACAGATGGCTGTAATGCACATGAAAAGATGTTCAACATCACTATTAGGAAAATGAAAATCAAAATCGTGAGAAATCACCTCACACCTGTTAGGATGGCTATTATCAAAAACAGAAGATAGCCAAGTGTTGGCAAGGGTGTGGTGACGTTGCCCCCTCCGCACCGTTGCTGGGAAGGTGTTACAGCTCTTGTGGGAAACGACTTGGTGGTTCCTCAAAAAATATAGAGTTACCATAAGATCCAGAAATTCCACTTCCGGATATATATCAAAAAGAATTGAGCAGGGTCTTAAAAGATATTTGTACACCTGTGTTCACAGCAGCGTTATTCACAATAGTTAAAAGATGGGAGCAACCCAAGTATCCATGAATGGATAAGTAGAGTGTGGCCGGTACATGCAAGGGAATAGTTATTATTCAGCCTTAAAGGAGAAGGAAATTCCAGCTCACGCACCAACATGGATGAATCTTGGAGATGTTACGTGCAGTGAAACAAGCCAGTGACAGAAGGACAAATACTGTACGATTCCACTTCCATGAGGCACCAGAGTAGTCAAATTTATAGGGACAGAAAGTAGGATGGTGGTTGCCAAGGGCTAGGTGGAGGGGAGGGTGGGGAGTGAGTATTTAATGGTGTGATGGTTAATTTTGTGTGTCAACTTGTCTGAGCCAGTGGTGCCCAGATAGCTGGTTAAACATCATTTCTGGGTGTGTCTGTGGGGACGTGGTGCTCTTTCTCTGGAGAACCCTGACTGCCACAAATGGATTTAGGGTGTCAGTTTTGCACGATGAGAAGAGTTCTGGAGATGGAAGGTGGTGTCTGCAGGGTGACGTGAATGTGTGTGACGCCGCTAAAATAATTCACGTGGTGAGTTTTGTTGTGTGTATTTTACCATAATAAAAAAAATGGGAAAAAAGATACTACATGATTTTTGCTCTCGTTCACACGAGGAGTTAATGCTGGAGTTCAGATTTAAAGCTGGATCTTGCAGGTTCCAGAGTCCTGACTAAACACCGCGCAGTGGGTCTGTGTGTGTGACGGAGGCTGAGCCTGTGTTGCTTTACTGACTATTTTGCCATCGAGGTGGCTGTGTTTGTGGTCCGCAGCCCTGAGAACCCCAGGAAGCAGCCACCCACCATGCAGAGCGAGAGCAGGGGGCCCCAGGGGAGCCCCAGGGATGGCAGACATGGGTGGGCATGGGCCCATCCTCTTGTCACCTCTGCCTCTCATCTCAGGACCACAGTGGCCAGCGGGGAGGAAGTGGGTGGAGCGAGGGGACCCCCTCGCCCCCCAGGGTCCTCTCTGCAGCTCAGCTGTGCTGCCTTCTGCCCCTGTCACAGAACAGATGAGAAAGAAATTAGGCTCTGGTTGGAAAAAGTTAAACAGATGAGATAAAACAAATCCCTTACTGTGCCTGGAAAATTCCACTGTCTAATTAGAAATACCGAGGTTGCCAATAGAACAGACACAAAGTTCATACAAGTGGCGAAATCTCTTTCTGTACTTCGCATCCTTGCTTTTCAGGTACAGTCACTGGGATAGGGTGCAAGTGGCTTGTTAATAACAACAGCTGACACGTAATGAAACTTCGCTGTGTGTCAGGCGCTGCAGTAGCCCACTATTTGCACGCTCCCCAGTCCTCCCTCGTCTTCATCCCCTCTGCACGCTGCCTTCCCGGGGTGCTGTCCCAGGAGGCTGGAGGTGCAGGATGCGGGCAGGTGGGCACACATCACCCCCTGGGAGAGGAATGGGCTGGGCACGGGCCTGAGGGTGGCAGCTGGACAGGCCTGCAGGGAGTGCACAGTCAGGAGGTGGAGGTGTGCGAGGGGCGCCTAGGGAGAGGCCTCCCTGATGAGGCTTCTCGGACAGAGGCCCCAGCGTGTTCAGAGCATTCGGGTCGGCCCTGCCCCTTCAGCCCCTGGAGGAGGCTCCGGGTCTGTGCTGTTAATACCCCAGGCGCTGGCACGGTCCTGGTTGGGTGTAGCGTTTTGAAAGAAGGAGGACTACCGATCAGTAGTTTATTTTGAAAAACCATTAGCTTGAAGGCAGTTTGGGCCGGAAAGCTGTTGGGTGGATTTTGCGCTCCCACTTTCCTGTTCCCTGCCCTGCCCGCTGCCCCCATGCATGTGCGCACAGCTACAACTACAACACACACGCACGCACGCACGCATGCACACACCTGGTCGGCGGAGCCCTGTCTGCTGAGAAAGAACGTCCCTGCTGAGGGACAAACAACCTAAAAGTTTTGTCCAAGCTCATGGGTTCTTCTTTGGAACACATAAGTCTCTGTTTGGGTCGTCTGCCCCCTCAATCCCTAGTCTTGGGACCACCAGTGGCGCCTGCAGTGGCTGGGGGAGCCCCTCGTGAGGGCCACTCTGGGCCGCTCTGGCCTTGCGGAGTCCATGTGTTTGGAGGACGCGCATGCCATGCTGGCGGAAGGCTGCCTTGTCCATTTTCTTCCAAGACACGCAGACGTGTCTCTAGATGTAGGCGGAGGGCTTTGCTTACCGGTTGTGGCTTTCAGAGTTTGTTGAGGTTGCCTGAGCAGCGTGAAGCTGGCATCTCCCCCCGCCTACTTACCTGGGCTGCTAGTCTGAAGGCGGAGGCCATTGGAAGAAAGAAGTCTTGCGTTGCCGTGAAGCAGGTGGCATCCCTGCCCTTCCCTTTCTCCTCCTCAGTGATGAGTGATCGAGCCAGCACCACCTGGCGACTCCCCACTCCCCCGGGCTGGTACCGACTGCCACCCACACTCCAGCTGGCATTCTGAGATAAACCCGTCCTGGCTGTGCTGAAAACACGAGGCCTTAAAGATATTGTTGAATGTTGAAAAATAAATCAATACCCGAGGCTGCTTATGTAAGTATATTCATATGAACGTAAAAACTGAAGTAGTGACCCGTCAGTTTAACAAGCTGGCCTCTGTGGAAGGTGTGGCCGAGTTCCTCCCTAACTCGTGTGTCCTCGTTGTCTCTGAGGTTCCCTACAGGCCCTGCGCTGGGTTGACAGCTGAGATACCTGGGGGCTAAGGGAGCCGTCAGCTCCCAGCTCCTCTCCACTCAGGATAAACCACTTGAATTCGAAGACTCACAAATTGCCTAGTCTGAATTCAACACATATAATAAGTGGTCTTAGCAGAGAAAGCCTTGTCAGTTAGTTGCTTAAACAGATATTTCAGTGATTTTGAACTGTGATCCTCGTCATGGTTGAGAGCAGTCCAGCCTCCGATGGCTTTAAAAAGGTGCCCGCTTATTGACTCCTTCCACAAATGTTTGTTGAGCACCTGCTGTGCCGTGCGGGGGGGGGGGGGGGCGGGGGGGGTCCCGCCCCGGGGGGGCTCTGACTGCTGGGAAAGGTGGGCTGGGGCTGTGGCTTAGAGCTCCGAGGGACATTCGGGTGGGATGGGAGGCTCCCGGACAGGACTCAGGGCTCCTGAACGAAGGGTGTCCAGGGTCAGACTGGGTGCGTGGCTAGGAATCAGCAGCGGCAGGAGAAGGCGTTGCAGGCAGAGGGTGTCCTGTGCAGACGCCCACAGGTTAGGGAGAACACAGCTCCCACCTCAGGAGTCGGCGCAGGGCCGGCAGGATGCCCCGGGAAGGCAAGCACCTGTGGATAAACGTGCTGGCAGGTCCCGCTGTCCCTGTCACCCAGCCAAGCACACAGGGCTCCGGGGAAAGCGCCGCCAGTCCAGGGTCCTCCGGGCCTCCATCCCACTCAGGGAGAGCCTCAGGGTAGAGGGGCCTGGGGTCCGCATCAGTCATCGGGCTACTCGAGGCGAGTCCCCATTTCATGGGGTCACTCGTGCTCCGTGGTCCGCCCAGTCTACCCCGCAGATCACAAGTGAAGACCCTATGGCCAGAGGTAAGGGACTCGCCCAGTGACCTCAGCTTGTCTGGTGCCTGGCTAAGTCTCCTGACTCAACAGCATGGCTGCATCCAGGCGTCTTGCCCAGAGCCTCTGAATTGTGGCCAGACGGACTTCTTCCAAAGCACTAGAGGATGTGACCGTTCGCTCTTCACCCCTCCTAAGGTTTCGCTTTCCATCAAGAATAACGTGCAAGCCCGTCATCAGAGCCTCTGGGGCCTGGACCCTGCTTATTTCGGAGCCCAGCTGGCCGGCTCTCTGCCTTGCAGCTGCCCTGGCCACCTACTGCTCCCTCCCTCCACCCCTGGGCCTTCGCGTTTGCTGATCCGTAGCCTGAGACTCTGCCCCCCCCCCCCCCCCCCCCCCTTGGGCCCGCCGTCCTTCGGACCTGGGCTCCGTGGCATCTGCTCAGTCTACCGAGTGTCACACCGTCCGGAGCCCAGCTCCACACCAGGCAGTCCTGATGGCGTCTCCCTGCTGTATCGTCTGTAGTGGGTGAAAGTGCCTTGTCTGGTGTTTGTATCATCTGTTACGTATCATCTGTTTGTATCATCTGTTACGTATCATCTGTCTCTCCACTTGAACGCAACATCCCCGAGAGCAAGAACTTTGTCTGGTTCGACGCCTCGTCCCTGGGGGAACCCGCCTAGAGTCGCCTGGACGGTTAATGATGCTTCGTGCGGTGTCTGGACACAGGAGGGACTCATTCAATGTGCGCTGCTGCATGGACGAACCGGATTTCCTAAAGTCCGGCTGACTCTTGGAGCAGCCGTCACACTTGGTGTGTCCACACCGAGCTGTTTGAGGACCGTCACAGGCATCTCGTTTTATCTCGGGAGCCTTCCCTGCAGAGCTGGGTGAGGCAGGCTCACTCAGGTGCAAGGTCAACCAGCTTCCCAGAGACCCAGTCCCAGCAGGCACGTGGGGCCTGCGCTCCCTCCGTAGTCTGTGCCCTAGCCGTGGTGTCGCTGCCCCGGGAACACACTGGAGACGGAGCAAGGTTGCCAGGGGCCTTGGCACGGGCCCTTGCTGTCTAATTTAATGCATCCGGAGATCAAGTCAGGCGCTGTCCCCAAACACAGAGCACACAGCTAGCAGAGGTGAGGCTTCCCGAGCTGAGTTGACACGTGGTCTTGACGTGGCACGGAATGAAGGGGCACGTGGCTGACAGAAATTTCTGCGTGGACAGAACTGGAAAGGTCCCCCGGAGGCTGCTCTGTGCTTCTCTCCGCCTGGTGCTTCTGGCGTACGGTCGAGTGTTCTGGAATCCCCACGCAGCCTGAATGCAGTCTGTGCCTTCCTCAAGGAAACGTGCTTGAGGGACGTCGTTGGAGGTTACCAAAGAAGGAATGAAGACCCGACCTCCCCGCTCCCTGACGATGTATTAAAGCTAACACAGTACCCAAGGGCATTGAGAATCCTCTTGGTTGCCTAGATCACTTTTGTGGGTCTATTGGGAAAGCACAGCTGGGTGGAGACGGTCCCTGGGACCCGCTGGCGGCAGCCTCTTGGGATGGGTGCTGGGTGAGTCTCCGCCGGATATCTGGGGCCGCCAAGAGCGGGATGCTCTCCACGCGCACCTGCGGCTGTGTGATTTCCTGCCCTGTGTCCGGCGCCCCTTTCTGGGGTCCCAGGCTGGCCGTGGCTCTGTGTTTCTGACATGCCTACAAGATGAGGCTCTGGATGCAGGGTCCTTGCCTGCTGGCTGGGGGTCTCAGATGGTTGGGAGTGCGCTTGTTGGGGGGAGGGGAACACACGTCTGCTGGAAATGCACCTCTTATCCTAATCCTCAGTCCTGCACCCTGGCTTGAGGGAGGAAGGCCCTCCTTTCACCCGAGGGAAAGCAGACAGGCCTAAGGATGGGCACGGACAGCCAGCCGAAATTTCCTGATTCCGGAGACTTTCCAGTAGTCCCGTGTGACCCCCCATCTCCCCGAGGGGCCCTGAGGTTCCAGTGGGTGGCCCAGTCTCCCTGGGACTCAGCTTCGGTGCGCTGAGCCCTGTCACCTCCAGAAACAGCTCTCTCAGAGTTGCAAAAGAGGCCCCCCTGCAGGGATCGCTGGCTATGTTGTGCGGCCAGGAGGAGCCGCCCGCTTCTGAAAGGTTGATTTTCCCCTCATGACGCAGTTCCAGAGCAAACAGATGGGGGCAGGATGGGGTAAGTTCGGCGTGAAGCAGGGGCCCAGCTTCTGGTGGCACCTGTGGGCCCTTCTGGAATAATGTGTTTATGTACATGAGACAGAACGCGTAGGACTACGGAGGGAACTAATTATATTAAAATGCAGTTATAAAAGTATTTTTAAAACGAATTTATGAAACAGCAGTACATGTGCTTCTCTATTAGTGTTAAAAACCGTACTCTGGCAGCGGATGAAACTATCAGAACAGGGACAGTTCTGGGGAACCTTGGAGCGTGGACGACCTTTGGAGCTCTGCGCACATAATGGGATGTGACGTGACTGATTCCTGTTGGTGACAGCATCACAGCCACTGCCGTCGCTGCTGTGGTCTGTGTCTGTCGTTGGTTCCACTCATAGTCTAAGGAAATGTTAAGGTGCAGTTAGAAGTGAGTGAAAATAAAGATGTCATCTTCTCCTCCATCCAAGTTCACGCACGACATCCCGAATCTGCCCACAGACCCCGGGGTGGGGGTGGGCTCCACGGCACCAGGTGAGGAGTTCCTGCTGTTGGGAGGGGTCCTTGTCAGCTGGACCGAGTCGGGGCAGGAGAGGGACTGGGGGACCCGCTGCAGGAGGGCGCAGAGGAGGTGGCCCTGGCCAGGCTGCTTCGGGTCTGAGTGTCTGTGACTCGGGGCTGCTGCCTGGGCTGGGCCTTGTTTAACCAGGGACCCTGGTTTCTTTCCTGTAACTTGAACTTTCTCATCTCACGAAGGGGAATGACTTCAGAAGAATGTGGAAACTAGACTAGAATCAAGGTTCAAGGTCGGGGAGGGTAGCTGTTCACATAAACCGCCCAAGGTAGAAGAACTGGGCTGGGGCGGAGGCTGCCTGGCCTGGGGCGTGTCCAGGTGAGGGGCCTTTTTATTTTATTTTATTTTAGAATAATTCGTTATTTATTTTATTTATTTTTGCTGTGTTGGGTCTTTGTTTCTGTGCGAGGGCTTTCTCCAGTTGCGGCGAGCGGGGCCACTCTTCATCGCGGTGCGCGGGCGTCTCACTATCGTGGCCTCTCTTGTTGCGGAGCACAGACTCCAGACGCGCAGGCTCAGTAGTTGTGGCACATGGGCCTAGTTGCTCCGCGGCATGTGGGATCTTCCCAGACCAGGGCTCGAACCCGTGTCCTCTGCACTGGCAGGCAGACTCTCAACCACTGCACCACCAGGGAAGCCCGAGGGGCCTTTTAAATTTCATTTTGTTTACGTTGTTGCCTTTCCAACCCCAGCCCCTCCTACATCACGAGAAGAGGGAGTGACGTTCTCTTGGTTTTGACCCCATAGATCATAAACCTGAGGGCAGGAAGGGTGGGTGCACAGTGGTGGGACGGGCTCCGGGAGACCCTGGGACGACGAGCCAGGAGCCTGGAGCCCTGCGCCGCCCTGAACCACAGCTGGGCCGGTCACTGCCCTGCCTGCCGCTCTGTCCTGTCTGTGACGTGCTGCTGGTCTCCTGCCCTGCCGTCTCCCAGGACGGCCGTGGAGCCCGAGGGCTGTCATGCATGCATGAGCGCTCTGTGGTGTTTATTCGTCCCGTCCCCAGAGTCACTGACATAAATATGTACAACAGGACAAAAAAGTAAATAAATAAGACAATTGGAGCGAAGGGAAAAGAGGGCCAGGAGAAAGGTGTGGTTGCCCACGATGCCGTGGAGAAGGCGGGGCAGGCGGGATGCCGGTGCTCGGGGTGG